GGATTCCGTCCCATGTTGGAATCAGGTATCATGACCGTGCTGATGGACTGGCCAGTGAGGCATGTAAGAAAGAAAATGTTGACCGTGACCTTGGCCTGTCCAATGCTGTACTTAAAAACTTTCAAGTCAGAATCATGAACTCTGATCTAGAAGAACTGAGAAATGCAGAGAGACCTGACAGTTGTAGCATTAGTTAATATGACAAATTTTGTGACGAGAGGTACCGGTATGGCCAGCATAAGGACAGAACCAGACAATGTGATGTAGTCGTGGCCAGAATTAGGCTAGGATACAGACACATCTGGCAAGTTAGTAACGCTGTACCCATACCGGAACACTCGGCATGTAAACTTTGTGATAAACCTTTAAAGCATACACTTGAGCACTATATTATTGAATGTGACACTATCAAAGACTCCAGGCCACCTGGCTTATTGTATCATGAACTATGTAATTTCTACATTGAATCGGGGGTGCTTGAGGACATTCTTGCTGTTTATCCCAAATTTGCTAGCCCACACTGATTAGTCTTCAATTAGAATGTGACGACCAATGTATATGAACCACTGTCCAGGCAGTGAACAGTGACATCACCCACATGACTCTGACCTATATATACTGCTAATGAATATGATGTATTTCTTTGTGTATGAACCTCTGTCCTGTGTGGCAGTGAACAGTGATACCACCCTCAGTGTCAAGACCTGACTGAATTACTCAGAATAAGCAAACTGTACTACAAGCTTTGTCAATAAAGTTGTTAAACTAAACTACCTACCTTACTCCTTCCTTATTTTCCCCCCTCCTTACTCATGTCCTCCCTCTGCTTCTCACTCCCACCTGCCACTGTCCATCTGCTTGCTTGCGTACGTAAGCCTCTCTCTCTCTCTCTCTCTCTCTCTCTCTCTCTCTCTCTCTCTCTCTCTCTCTCTCTCTCTCGTTCACATCCACGATCAGGAAATTAGCAAAAAAAATAACAAACAGACAGACAGACAGACAGACAGACAGACAGACAGACAGACAGATAAATAAATAAAAAGTTTATAGACATATATAGATAGATATAGAACAAAACATAAACATAAACAGCGGAAAATAAAATGAGACATAACTTCCTCGTTGACTCACCGTTTCTTGTCCTGGCCAACACCCACAAAGGCGTGGAAATAGTCGGCAGTTTTATCGTCTGGTGTAGAAATACCAGAGTTTCCCCTCCTTCACCCCCCCCTTCCCTCCCAGCTACCTATAGCCCCCAGACGTGGATAGCAACAACACCCCATCTCCCCACCCCACCCACCCATTCTCCCAACATAAAATTAACTTGAATATCAAACAACAACAACAACAACAACAGCTAGGCCAGATAACAACAAGGAACTAAGTGCTTAGCAACAAAAGGCCACTTCAAGTCTTCACTACATGGACACAGTGACTCCTTCCTCTTCCCTCTCTCCTCCCCCTTCCCTCCCTCCTTCCCCCCTTCTCCCCCTCCCCCATCAACAATGAACCAATAATATCACCTCAAGCACAACACACACACACACCTCCCTACCATCTCTGCCAACCATGTAAAGTGTGAGATCCCACACGTATACCTCACCTACCGAGTGTAGTACACCATGGCCTCTGTGTGTGTGTGCGTGTGTGTGTCAAGGCCAAGCAACCTATGTCCGTTCTCAGTGTACCGTCACAGCTGGCTTTATACCAAATCTCTCTCTCTCTCTCTCTCTCTCTCTCTCTCTCTCTCTCTCTCTCTTCATTGTTTGTTAACATCACCTCTTTCTTATTATAATTTACTTGCTTTGAAGTTGATTCGCAAAAGTAATAAAACCGAGTTATTTTTGCATGGCTGAGTAAACTTAAACGCGTCATTATTGTCCTTATAAGTAGTGGTAGTAGTAATGTTATTTTAGGTTCGTGGTCGTCGAGGGGTCCTCACCACCAGGGGCCGCTGTAATAGGACTGGGTGAATTCTCTTGAGTTTTGGAGGGACAATAAACAGCCCCGTAGTACCTTGGATAAGTTTGGTGAAAGTAACCATTTTTATCTCGTTAAATAACTACAAACTACATGAGTATCTGAAGAACGTAATAGTAGTAGTAGTAGTAGTAGTAGTAGTAGTAGTAGTAGTAGCAGGATTTTTTTATCCCATGGCCGCATGTCACTGTAACTTAGCTCTCGATACTGCACACAGGAGGAACGAGAACGACAAGACAAGGGCATACGGGGAGAGAATTCAGAACGTTTATCAAGGCAGCTTCACTCCTCTAGTGTCCACAACCTCTGGTGGGATGGGACCAAGTGCAAGATGTTTCTACGCCAGACTCGCGGAGGTGCTGCCCAAACAGAAGCAGCAGCCCAGAAGTTATGTTACAGCCTGGATGAGATGTCGACTGTCCTTCTCTCTCCTTAGGTCGGCTTTGCTCTGCCTCAGGGGAACGAGAGCATCGGTCCCAAAGCCGACAACAGTTGCGGATATTGACTATGAGGCTACAGTCACTGAATGTTGCATAATTCTGCTGCTCAACTAACTCAACACAGTTAGGATAGCTACTTATGTATTAGGATATTTAATTTTAAGGTAATAAAATGGTGGCGAAGGTGTGGCTATTGGGGGAGGCTGGAGGACACGTTAAAAAAATATATGTAGTAATAATAGTTGTAGTGTTTACCTTTTGACGTTAGTTATGGCCGAATAAAGCGAATTTATTCAATAATTCTTCCTCGGAAAAAAATCATCAAACATTTTCTTACTCTCTTTCACTCCTTATTTAATTTTTTATTTATATTAAATAAAGAGATGAAAAGACTGATTTATTAAGAGACGAATCGAAAAAAAAATTGCTTACGCTGGGTCATAAATTTTCCTCAGCGTATCATGAAAGTCTAGCCCGGGGACCATGTGACAAGATCAACAGTATAATGTTAATATACTGTCAGTCCTCAGCTAGATACATGGCTTCATATCTCTCTCTCTCTCTCTCTCTCTCTCTCTCTCTCTCTCTCTCTCTCTCTCTCTCACTACAACTGGGAACACTACCGGACCTCTAACGACGGCTGGTAACACTACCGGACCTCTAACTACGGCTGGGAACACTACCGGACCTCTAACTACGGCTTGGAACACTACCGGACCTCTAATTATGGCTGGGAACACTACCGGACCTCTAACTACGGCTGGGAACACTTCCGGACCTCTAACTATCGAACACTACCGGACCTCTAACTACGGCTGGGAACACTACCGGACCTCTAACTGGCTGGGAACACTACCGGACCTCTAACTACGAACACTACGGACCTCTGGAACACTACCCTCTAACTATGGCTGGGACTAACTACGGCGGACCTCTAACTACGGCTGGGAACACTACTGGACCTCTAACTACTGGGAACACTACGGACCTCTAACTACGGCTGGGAACACTACCGGACACTCTACTCTGGCGGCTGGGAACACTACTGACCTCTAACTACGGACTGGGAACACTACCGGACCTCTAACTACGGCTGAACACTACGGACCTCTAACTACGGCTGGGAACACTACTGGACCTCTAACTCGCACTACCGACCTCTAACTGCTACTGGAACACTACGACCTCTAACTACTGAGAACTACCGGAACACACGGACCTCTAACTACGGCTGGGGAACACTACCGGACCTCTAACTACGGCTGGGAACACTACCGGACCTCTAACTATGGCTGGGAACACTACTGGTTGGGGACACTGGACCTCTAACTACGACTGGGAACACTACCGGACCTCTAACTACGGCTGGGAACACTACTGGACCTCTAACTACGACTGGGAACACATCTACCGGACTAACTGGCTACACTACTGGACCTGGAACACTTAACTACGAACACTACGACCTCTAACTACGACTACGGACCTCTAACTACGACTGGAACACTACCGACCTCTAACTACGGCTGAGAACACTACCGGACTGACCTCTAACTACGGCGGACCTCTAACTACGACTGGGAACACTACCGGACCTCTAACTACGACTGGGAACACTACCGGACCTCTAACTACGACTGGGAACTCTACCGGACCTCTAACTACGACTGGGAACACTACCGGACCTCTAACTACGACTAAATGAACTCACTCATACCTCCAACTACGACTGTAAACTGTGTCGTACCTACAACTACGAGCGCGAACTCTACTCTGTTCCCAAATACGGCCTATGAACCTTCCATTTGTCTTAACTAGCAAAATTACCCGGTTTTTCACAGGTTAGGTTAGCTTAGGTTTGGTTAGGTTAGGTTAGGTTAGGTTAGGTTAGGTTAGGTTGGGTTAGGTAAGGTTAGGTTAGGTTGGGTTAGGTAAGGTAACCAACTCCCGTAATCGTCGCCCGTGGTGACATCTCAGACAGGGAAGATTTTTGGTTCTTTGCCCGGACCATCTTGGCACCTATGTATAATATAAGTGTAAATTTTCAGGTCTCTAACTGTTTCCGTTTTGAAGATATGGCTGGAACAGACAGACACGTCACAGACAGACAGACACAGCACAGACAGACAGACACAGCACAGAAAGACACGTCACAGACAGACAGACACAGCACAGAAAGACACGTCACAGACAGACGGACACTTCACAGACAGACAGACAGACACACTCTCAACTACTACAAATTTGTTATCGTTGTTGGACAAGAGTATTACTAACCATGCTACAGGCTTGAAGACCTGCGTAGTTGAAGTGTAGTAATAATATTATTATAAACACAACAACTATCACGAGACCAATTACTAACCTCATTTGTACCATAACCACTAATTACTGTCCTTAATTGTACCATAATCACTAACTAGTTCCTTTAATTGTGTCATAACACCTAACTACTATCATAAATTGTACCATAACCACTAATTACTACCCTTAACTGTACCATAATTGCTAATTACTGCCCTCAACTGTACCATAACCACGTAAATCATCGTCTCTCTCTGCCTGATACCACATAATACGCACCTGGCGAAACAACGACGGCACTGGAGAAGCTGCTACACTCTCCAAAAAATTAAGTGGGGGGAGTTATCGCCTTTTTGGTGACGTGAATTAAAGTCAGGTGTAGTCAGGTGAGGCGATGAAGTTAATTAAACCACTCTCAGGTGGTGGCCAGCAGGCGCGGCAGGTGGTGGTGACACACACGAGGCTCGGACGGAAATGAGTGGTTGTAGCGGTGGTAGCTCCCTCTCTGCTCCCTCCCTCCGTCTCTCTCTCTCTCTCTCCTTCCTCCATCTCTCCTAACCCCCCCCCCTACCTACCCTCTCTCTACCTCCCCTCCTGTGGGTGTGGGTAGCAGGTGGTGGATGATGATCAGGGAGAGGGAGAGCCATGAAGAGAGAGAAACAGAACGAGGTTATGAATTTACGTGCACATCCGCAGGTTCGGGATTCACTTCGTATACTGCGTGTGCGGAAGTGTGTGTGTAGGAGAAGGGGGTTACTTGGTAGGCCTATATCAGCTCTTCTTTGTTTGTTTACTAATTCATATATAAGTTGAGGATGTGACGAAGCGTGTTGAGCATTTCTTTATCAGCTCCTCCTGTGGCTGTGTAAACCTTGTAGTCAAATTGGGATATGAACCAGTGTGTACGAAGTATTTTTGTGAAAGAAATTTCCTCTCACTTTCAGCCCTTCTCTTGCCTTTATTCATCCTTCATAATAATCGGAGGGAAGTAATGATAATAAACACGAAAGGATAGAATTATTAATAGATATCCGCTAATAACTGATGTAAGGCCGTTTCTTATGACAAGATGTGAACAAAACATATAATGTATATAACTGTTATTTCGTTAAGTATAAAAATGTGCACACACATTTTTTTTAAATTGTACAAAAGCAAATAACCAAAAAACACCAGGGCGGTTTAACTTAAATCTTAACTTACAAAAATTTTGAACATGGGAACTGGTGATCACCTGCTTATTGGCGCTCACAGTATTGTACTTTACACGAGTTAGTCACGTAGTGAGTTTATGCACAAGGTCACGCTGCACACATGTTCCAAGCAGTACCGAGCCCTCAGCAGGCACTACGACGGAGAACCAGGATTCATGATTCAGTGAGGGTCTAACTGTTGTATGTTTCGTTCCAGCAATTCAAAGACTCAGGGGTGTAACAGGCCTTTTGTCCGTGATTCTACAAACAAGGGTTGTAGTTATAAATGTAGTGAAATTCACGCTGGGCCACACAAAAGTCCAAAGGGCCAAAACTTAGTACATGGATGACACAAAGTATTCCTCTGTCTGCTTACCAATTACCTCGTGGCTCACTTTTTTTGCGTTACTTTATTCCTCAGCTAACTGTTTGGTCGGGCGGTCGGTTATTTCAATGTTACTCGCTGTTGGCAGGTAATGAGCAGGTAGTGCACGGGCTCTTGGGTGTATCTGAACATGTGCTGTCACAACATTCCCTGGCAGATTATTCCAAGAGTTCACATCTCTTGCCCTCCAATTAAGTTACTCTGACAGTTTTTGTACTACAGCTTCCTTAACTTGAATCTGTCACCTCTAGTGGGGCAACATCTACTAGCCCCCGATATGTACATTTGACGGAGTGTTGTTTTAAAAAATCCTTATTCTCGTTTACTAAATCTACCCTTGGCCACCTGTAGTACAAACTGCACGTTTGCAAATGGTCTGTTCTATTTTGGTGAATGTGAAGTCTGAGTGCCAACACCAGTTTGGTAACCTACCTTTAGACGTTCTCAAATTGGCAGACCTTGGCATATCTTTGAGACCAGGCAGATTTACAATAATGTTAGTGATATAGTAGACTTACTACGTTTTCGAAAAGCCTTACTAGAGACGTATACCAGGTAAAGGACCTTTGTATCAATCCTACTCGTCTCTCAACAAGATTCGCCTTTTTATAAGGATTCGAGAACTTCAGTTCATTTTAATTTCAATTAGAGAAATGTCTTCGTCGTGTTGGCACATGTGATAGTGATTCGCTTCCGTTTTGTTTTTGTTTGTTTTTCATTTCCTGACTAAGTTGGCGTCATCAGCATATATTTGTATGGAAGAATGAAGAACATTTGTCATATCGTTTATAATGCAGACAAACAATGGTCCCAGCATAGTGCCTTAAGACACGCCACTTGCTGTGGGTATACTGTACACCTGTGAGTCCTATGACCATTTTGTGCCATTGATCACCACCAAGAATTCTGGCACCAAAGGAGAATGTAGCACTCAATGTTAACGTCTTGTAATTACTAACCTTGTTAGGCACCAAATATAGACCCGGAGGAAACCTTCCATGGTTGGAAACCACCCTTCTCACATCTGTCCTGGCTGGGGATTGAAGTGAACCCAGGACATATTCATGAGAGGCACTGTACTCACGTTGCTCTTGTTTATCAAACTGTGATACATATTTTATAGATTTAACTTCAGACTGTGTTAAAACTAATATTAAATTTCATCTGTATGATCATGTGTAATATTGCAATTAATAGGGAAAAATATTTAACACGTATAGTAATAGGTATTAAATGGTTTAGTTGAGAGACCGTAGAAGTAAACATAAACAAACTCACGTTGAGTTACTCAGACTGGCACAGGTTCTGTAGCCTAGACGACATTTAAAACTAGGTTAGTACAAAGTAATTTTCACAGTTTAGCTTGAAATACAATCAATATCTTTTTCTACAATAATAAAGGTAGGCAAGTACTAGTCTTCCTGTTCTCTTCAAAAACTTGGGAGTATAAGTAGCAGTTCCTCTTGTCAGGTTAATATCTGAGATCATCACTACCACCAGAAGGAATTGTTCAGTTTAGTTGATTTTTGGCTATTATTTTAGTTTAGATCACCCGGGGAATCTTTGGAATTTAACCCCTCGCCAGAAAGGGGGAGAGCCTGTGGGGGGAGAAGCAGGTTAGGTTAAATATAGTTCCTGGGGTCTATGGCTAGGTTAGGTTGGTTAGGCTAGGTTACATTGGGTTAGGTTAGGTTGGTTAGGTTAGGTTACATTGGGTTAGGTTAGGTTGGTTAGGCTAGGTTACATTGGGTTAGGTTAGGTTGGATATCTAAAAACAAATAACCAGCTAATTATTGACGACTGATCCGCTGCATATTTCTCATGGAAAACGATTATACAAATGCCACAATGTCACTGTTTTTTTAATGGACATAACCGTATTTATGGAAAAACTGTTAAAAACTGTTTATTTAACAGTTTAAGTTAACCTAACCTAATCTTAACCTAACTTTAAACTAAACTAACTTAACCAAACCCAACCTAGCATAACTTAACATCTGCCGTAGGCGAACTTACTGAGAGGGGGGGAAGAGGCTGTGATGTCCTCCACATTAGCTAAACAAGCAGCAGAAGCACTGTTACAAGACCTCGCCAAACAAACCTACCTAACTTCCTAACTGCGGGGCTCCGACCCCCAGCCCCCCCCCCCCTCCTCTGCATATTTAACAGAAAGAACTTACTATGAGATGATGTAATTTTACATTTTTTGTAGACGTGAGAGCAACCGCCCATACCAAACAGCTCGTAAGCATACACTGAGCATTGGCACTAATCCGGCTCGGGTGGTGGAGTGTTTTTTAATATGTCTGTATGATTGGCTGTTTACATCATGGGATGAGACATCACCTCCGCATTACCACCAAGAAGACAAAGTAGTGTGCACCTAGGTGCCTAATTATCTACCAAACAATACATTTGCACAAAGAATTATTATCATATCAGAACTCACTGATGAAAATATAGTAAAAAAATAAACACCAAAACAAATAATGTCGGCGGGTCAGTCGTCAATATTAACCGATGACCAAAACTAAAATTTTACCCTTTTTTTCCACAGATGCTCTTATCATTATACAGGTATTAAGTATTTTAAATGAGGCGACATTTACTACAACTTAATAAAACCTGACCTAACCTACCAAAGAAACCTGCTTAACCTTACCTAACTTCCTATCCGTCACCGCCATATTAAACAGAAAGTACTTATTGTATTTTGATATCTGGTACCAATGAAACCAACTTTGTTGAAGCATCATGGTGTAGTTTTGCATTTTTTGTGGATGTGTGAATACACTCAGACCAAGCAGTCTGTTGTAAACAAACTGACAACATGCGATGACTTGGCAGATTTTTTAATTGTACAGTATTTACGGTAAATAATTATTTTCTTTATATTCGAAGCGCGCAGACATAATTTTAATGTTATATGATCAGTTTTTCGCCGTGTTTTTCCCGGAAATTTTCCTCATCCTTCAAGCCCTGCCCACTACAGGTGATTTATAATCATAGATAAAAAGTAAAAAAATAAATAAATACGTATTAAAATAACAAAATTTTGCCTATTAAAATACTCACTATAATGATAAGAACATCTGTGGAAAAAATGAACGGAATCGAGCGACTCGTTGTGGTGGTAATGGTGTTCTCGTACATTACCCTTCTGTGTAATGAGGTAAATGTTAGGAGGCAAAACTACATAATGTATAAACATTTACCGGTAAAGGAGGAGAATACGACTAGTACTTGAGATAATTTATGGAATTTAACCAGAATTTCTAGGGGATACTATTTGCATGATACTAAATATCAAAATACAAACGACAATACACAGAACAAAACACAACCTGACCTAACCAACCACACCTCCCTGAAGCACAACAAACAAGATGGTTCCTCTAGGGTAGGTGACGCGAAGTAAGTACGGTATTGTTATTTATAAAGAAAAACTAAGAGAAAACAATACTGTAGTGTATAGCATAAGAAAAGTGCTTTTCCTCTCACCAATTTGCTTTATTATTTAAGGTAAGAGATAAGTTTTTCTCAAATGATGCTTTTCATTAGTTAGCTGATTAACCCAGACCCATGTCCTCAACTTAACTAAAAAATGATTCCTTGACAACAATTTTGCTAAGAACTCTTGGTATGCAGTAGTTTAGGGTAGTTCAACATAAACAGAGTTATATGCTCATAATACTGTGCTCTCTATATATACTATTTTTATGTTTCAGACGAGTAAAATGTCGAAACACGCTTGTGAGCTAAATTTCCTCTCCCGGTCTGATGGCTCTGCACTTTATTCTATAGGTAAGTGTTTTATTTAGATTTTGTATATTCTTTGGGGTTTTTTATTTTGTTGTTGTTGAAACAGAAGGTGGTGTCAGTTTGCCCCTAATTTATGTACGTGTGTGGAGGAGGGGTGGGGGTGCGGGGGGGGTGTTTGCTGTTATCGACCAGCTTAAGTAAGGCTGGCATAAACAAATACACTGTCCAGGTTTCCATACTTAGAGAAGTTTACCTCTTTTTTGACAATATTTCAGTACAGTACTAAACTTCTGTGCTTACTGTAAACTTATAACATTTATTTTGCTTCCTGCACAGATATATTATACATGAACATTATATGTGATCATACTCTTCAATACATTCACTTCTTCACAAATCATGGCAGAGCTAAGCAATATTTTACCTCTACAGCAAACCCTTGATAACTCGGCATTCGGTAACTCAGAATTTCATATAACTTGGCACAGATATGATCTCGGAATTCATTACAAAATAATTCAGGAAATTGCATGGTATATAAAGTTATCTGGGTAAATCTCATCATATTTGGCCTCGTGGGTAACACCCGCTCCACTCTTGGTCAGTCTGGTGTTTGTTATTGTTGTGGTCAGGTGTGTGCCGGCTCACTCCACCCAGTACATGGACGTGGGAAGGGAGGTTGCTGTACACCCCAATATTTGAGGTATAAAGTACTATACATTCAACACCCCCTGGTTAAATATAGTTCCTGCCGTACTAACCCAGTAACACCCAACAACCTCCTCCACTCATATGTATTTCTCCTATACGTATTGTATTTCAATCGTACGCCTGGCAACAGGTGTAAGGGCTGTAACGTGTGGGATGGTTGTCCGCCGCTCGTTTGCTTGTTCGTGGTCCCACTAGGGAGGGGGGGTAGACGGTGGTGAGAAGGTCGCTGCTGCCTCGAAGCCCGCCAGACACGGTCCAGCCTTGACCACAGCTGCACTTCCCCCACTATTCAATTCCAACTCTGGTTGTGTGCTCATCTGAGGCTCCTGGGGCTCGTGGGCTGATTCCCCAGTCCTTCACTATTTGGCTGTCAATCTCCGGACACCTGTTCCAGCTACTACTGTTGCTGCCACGTGATCGCCACTTCCTCCACGCCCTATCCACCGTCCATGCCCTGGCGTCTCTCCTGTGTGGCAAGACATCGCCCACCAACTCCAAGTGAGGAAGCTGCCCTGGACCTTCCCCCTGAGAGCGGATCACCACGTTACCAGAACATCCCACCGTGCTGGTCAGGAGGAAGATTCATCTGCAGCCGTAGGAAATACCTGTACTTTGTTGTATTAATTGTTTTGTTTCAAGTAATTCTTTGACAATAGTTTTGTTTATTTAATATTTGTGTGAGTGGTGTCAATTATTGTGATTATTTTCGTAGTAAAGATATGTTAATCTCTAACGGTTGTTTGTTACCCCTTGGAAACCCATGGTTCTTGACTTTCCTTTTATAAGATCCTGATTAGGCTGGCAAGGGATTTATATCCCAAAGATCAGGCCTTTACAACGGGAGCGAGTAAGTAACCACTAGTTAGTGCATCATCTGCTGTTGTAACTCTTCTCCCTCCCTGTAATATTTCACTGGATTTACTGTTATTATTAGTGTTTACTGATATAATAATGCTTAATAGTGATTAACATGGCATTGTAGCCAGGCAACTAAATTATTAGGTCTTATAAGAAGGTCGTTTAGATATCTAGACGGTCCGTCCCTCGTAACGATCTTCAAGAGTGAAGTGCTTCCCCATCTGGAGTACTGCCACCCCGTCTGGTCCCCGAGATATGCTAGGGACTGTCAGTTGGTTGAAAATATTCAAAGGAGGGCCACCAGACTGGTGCCTGCACTTCGGCACCTCAGCTACCCTGAGAGATTTGAGTGCCTGAATAATGCCTAGCTTATATTACAGACGGGCAAGAGGCGACCTAATTGAAGTGTAAAAGCATCTCAAGGGGCACTACTCAGTCGAGTGTCCTTACCTGGAGTTGCCGGACGCTTGCCCCACAAGGGGTCACAGCTCAAGATTGAAGAAGCCGCAAGGCCAAAAATCTGTGATTGGTAACTTTTCGGAATGAGAGTTGTGAACTCTTGGAACATTCTGCTAGAAAGTGTTGTGACGGCACTGAGTGTGAGCTCTTTCAAGACCAGACTTGACCAACACTGGAGCAGGTTCAGGTACATTCAGGAGCCGGTACATACTTGCCAACAGTGCGTAACAGAGACGTGACTGACCGCCCAAGTCTCTAGCAAGCCCATCATTGGTGAAGAGGGTAAAAGAAGAAAAGTAAAATAAAATCTATACTCATCGCTGTGACCACCAGGCTACTGGGCCTACTGTTGAGAACCAACTCATATTTTCAGGTAGATGTACATAACTTTCTTCATTTATTTTTACTCAGTTACACACACACATCATCCTACATACATATTGTGAAAAAAGTAAAAGAAATAATTGTCCTAAGGGCAAGCACATAAAGGGAATAATTTATTTGTACACGAGTTAGCTGGCTGAGTGAGGGACGGGAAGACAGTTGCAGTGTGTAAGGGGGAGGGTGGGGGGGGCATTGCTAGGGAACCAGCGTGCCAGCTGATGTTCGTTACCTTGGTGAACTTGCATTTGGCTTTTATTTACTGATTGTGCAATACAGTATGTTTCGTTGGTATTTTTTTTATTTATTCATCATATTTCCCGGTACTGTATATATTATTTCAAGAAAACTATGGTTACAGGAGGAAAATACACACATTTTTCTTCCTAAATACTCCCTGCCTTAAAATACAGTTCAGGTACTGTATTTTTGGTGTTTTTATGTCGTCATTATATATAGTTTTTATACATTTAGTACATTCACCGTAGGCTGATGTAGCATTCATATTTTTTACATTATTATTGACAAATTAAACAGTAACCATGGCCCCTAGGAAAGTGTTTGGTATCTATAAGGGTGGTGAGAAGGTTAAGCCTAAGACCTTATCAGTGAACTAAGAGTAAGTGTACAGTACTTAATGGTCGTTACTTTTTTTAATTCATTTATATTAAAAAAACATGTATTTCTTTTATAAAAATTGGATACATTGGTGTTGTACTCTTTTTTTTTTTTTTTAATAGTTTTTTTTGACAAATTTGATCTAAGGTGGACACCCTCTTTTCCCGGACACCCCTTCCCCCTAATTAGTCCGCCTTATGGAGGTTTTACTGTAATTGTATTTGAAAAATCAACTTCTAAACTCTCAAAAAGCCCTTACAGTACAATATTGAATTAGTTGTGGAAAGGGGTAAAATTAATTCAAGGATCATTTGCAGAGATTACAGAGGACTATTACTAAAAATTACAACTTTCTGATCAAAGTTACTGGTATTTACTGTAGTAAGCATAGTGAACGGCCATAAAAATGTGCAGGAATAAATGTACCAATGAATAAAAGAAAATCAATTATGCTTTGAATTTTGTATAATATCTAAACATTTCTTTTCATAAACAGTTTTTATCCATGTTAAAAAGATAGATATAAATTTTATTGCATTTTTCATCAGGAAACACAGTGGCTCTTGCTTCAGTAAATGGTCCGGGTGAAGTTAAGAAGTTCAACCGCCTCTACAACAGGGCATATCTAGAGGTGTCCTACAGCCCCTCCACCGGACAGTCCAGTACGTCTCTCTCAGCATATTTATACTGTATGATGTAGCCGTGAAGCTGGTTTATTGTCACAGATATATAGTGCTGCTTTTACAGGTATTTTTAATAAATGATTACAGTACAGTATAGTAATATTCCCATTAGCTGGAACAATTGGTGCAAAGCACTTCTGGAAATGACAGATTTCCAGGTAACAAGACAACTTTCTCAAACCCCCAAAAATACCCCATCCCCGGAATTTTCCAGAGAATTCCTAGCAAAATTCTATTCCGGCTATCGGAGAGTTTCGGTTAAGAGGGATACACTGTACTGTATGAATGTTCCATTCAAAATATACACTAACTACAGTACTACAATATACTGCAGTGTCTTAAACAATATGTGAGGTAAACAGGGCTTCAATTCTCTTAAATATCTGTCTTTAAGTATCTATATACAGTACACATCAACCATATGCCAGACTCACTAACATCATTCATAAGATATACAGTACAGTAGAGTGAGTGTGATTATCTATAGCTTGAAATGGCAGATAAAGGAATCTTAACCCTGACAAATACCAACAAAATAACTGCAGATATTGTCTTTATTATTGAATATAACATTGACTAATTAAAAGGAAAAGGAAATTCTTAAATCTACTTAACAACACTTAATTATTTTAATCTCCAGTCTATGTGGAATAAATTACCTTCAATGCATGGAATATTGTTTTAGTCATTTATGGGTTAAGTATACAGTAAATACCCAGTCATAAGGATTTATTTACTCAACATCAGAGGTGGCTCCTCCGAAATCAGTACTTATAGTTTTCTTTATAATACACAAGAATGTAAGGTAGATATATTGGATCACCTGAAGATTAGACATCCTAGCTTATATCACCTGACAATTAACCACTCCATGGTAACCTAACCTCCCTGGTATTGTTAGGATGGTTAATCTTTAGGTGATGTGATATATTGTATATATTATATTACAATATTTAGAGCCTTCTTATCAAACCCATAATACAGTGTGTAATTCAAAACTATCTACCGTATGTCCTTTGGCAATCATATACAATACCACCTCCAGTTGAACAGACTGGAACAGATCTAGCAAAGTTCTAAATAAATTACACTGTACAGCTCCTCCCCGACTTACGACGGAGTTAGGGACCCAAATCCAGGTCGTAAGTCGAAATGGCCGTATGTCGAAAATGCTTAAATAATACATAGAAAATCTAAAATGGGTGTCTCTTTTTTTCTTCTCAGCACCACAAAACTCTCACTTTTAAGCTTGCCAGACATTTTAAAGTGAATTACAAACGAAAATTTTGTCTGTACTGACGTTGGGACTCAAAAATACATAATTTGACAAAATTTGGGTATGACTGAGGCAGGTCGTAAGTGCGGGTGGTCGTAAGTTGAGTAGGTCGTAAGTCGGGGAGGAGCTGTATAAGTGATCCCTTGGTTAACGAATTACCTTCCATAAGATTCTTTACTTCGGTTAACGAGCAAACCCTCGGTTAACGAATTACCTTCCATAAGATTCTTTACTTCGGTTAACGAGCAAACCCTCGGTTAACGAATTCCTTACGCATTTTTCCCAACATGTTTTCGCCTGCATATGGCTTCCCACCAGCTGCAGTATTAGTCCGCCAATACAGTAATCGGTTTTAGGGCTTAAATTCCTTACCATTTTAGTAAATATCAAGAAGGTTGTACTATTCAATAATTTAAAAGTTTTATATTAAATTTTTTAGTCATTTTAACAATTATTGAACATAATTGAAGTATAGGAAACTAGTTTTATGCGCGCCAAACAGCCACTCAACACACCAAGCTTGGCGTCAGTTTGTTTACAGGTTCAGAGAAAGGAACATCTTGTTTGAGACTCTTCAACATAAACTTTTTTTCTGTGTTTCCAGTCAAATTATTGGTTATTTTGAAATATATTTTACATATTGATAATATATAGCGCAGTGCAGTGTTGATTTAAAGAAAATAATCTTGAATTACACCAAGTGAGCTAAAATTTTATGAGTGAAATGGCAGCATGGGGTGACTTCTCTTCCACCCCAATGCCTTCTCTTCTCCCTTCTCCTCCACCCCCATTCTAATTCCCATCATCATCAACCAGGAGCCTTCTACATGCACACCTCAAAGTAAGTGTACTTTACTGCATTTATTTTTAGTTTGTATGTAATTTTCGGTGAGCTGGAACCAATTACCCAAAAACCCATTGAAACAATGGTTTCGGTTAACGAATTTTTCGGTTAACGAGCAACCTTCTGGAACGAATTGTGCTCGTTAACCGAGGGACCACTGACAATGAATCTTTAGTGTTGAACATAGTGAAATGAGACTTCCATAGTGCTTGAACATCTCTCGACTGTTTGGTACGTTTACTCACTAAGCCAATTCATTAGTGAAACATATCTGTTCAGTCTTTAACTTGCATATTTATTTCTTCTTAATTTTCACCTTTTCTTTCAATTCATCTGGTGTATTTCATGAACATAAGAATATTTATAAGAGCAATAGGAATAAAGAAACACACCACTACATTCAGTGAACCACACCCTGACATACAACTAATCAACCCCTTAGTAAATTCTTCCTAGAGGTTGGTCTTAACTCTCTCCTCTTGCTCTCACTCACTTGTTCATCTCTTGATCACACAGTTGATTATTATTTTCCCTTATTTTTTATTCAACCTCATCTATGAAATTTTCTCATACAGTAGTTTTTTTGCTCCTGTACTGCCAGCATTGCTATGAAATCTTAAGAATTATACACTGAGGGAATCTTGTCACAAATTGTGTTATAATACTAGTTTCATCATTGTGCCCATAACATTTCATCTCTCCTCTCTTCACACCATAACTTCTCAAGTAATTACTGTACTGCATTGTATTTGAAGCTTTAGAAATTCTGCTTGTTTCTTAACAGTGATAGGAGAGCGAGCTTTGGAGTCGGTGATCACACGCACAGTTGAACAAGTGATTCTTGTTCATCTTCACCCAAGAACTGCAGTTAATGTCACCATACAAGAGATGCAGTCAGATGGTTTGGTAAGAGTTATGCAGAAATAAGTACAGGAATTGTACCATATTTTGTCATCCCCTTAGATAATTAATACATACTGTACACAGTAGTTGATTTATTTGGACAGTACGAGTGCCATGTTTTTAAGATGAAGGTTTCAGAGTGAGTTATGGTTATTTTATTACAATATCGGGTAACTAACAGATGTTTTTATTTGTCCATTTTATAACCTATGTTCCTGCAGTGATTAATTTACAAGATCAACCACCATTAATGTTACCTTGGTAGAGTCCATCATTTGCACTGCACATATATTGTCCAGCAGCAGGACACTGTACAGTATTCATGTAAAGGATGCTGCAGCAGCATAGAGTAATAGTTCCTCATCCAGAGAAATCAGAGTTCTGAATCTTTGATCCAGCAGTTGTGTTGTTTGACCAGTGAGGGCATTTAACCCTCTTGTTAAAACTTTGTTTTTGGGGTTATGCCTCACAGTGTGTAGAAAGCCTTTTGATGTTTTGACAATTAAGATAATTGACATTTTAGACAGTTATTCTGCCAGTTCACTACTAACCACTGTGCAAGTATTAAATCTTTTGTTTTTCATATAAACAAAGTGAATTTTTATGGTTGTCAGAAACTGAGGATGACTTTCATCCCTAATAATAAGGATCAGTAGTCTGGCTTCTCTATATTAACTCGAGTGTAGTGATAATTACTCATCTATATCCTTCATTATTTGTTAGTAAATAATAAATTAGTTTCAGATAAGACAATACATAAATCCATTACAAATTTCTTCTAAGTTGAGCTAAGTTCTCAAAGGATAAGAGCATTCTCCTCTCTGGTGTTAGGATACAATACAGAACTGTACTTCAAAATCTGGTTTGATTATGCTGTCCCATAAGTTTCTCAGATGTCTATCTTATCTGTTGATTAGATTCATTATAAGACAATCTTTCTCTTCTACATCTGATAGTCTGTATTAACCTGATAGGTCTAGGAAATTTTCTTGTTTAATTCATAATACATGTACAGTAAACTCTTGCACTTTCGGACAATTAGGGGAGGAGAGAGTGTCTGGATGAGCCGGGTGGACAAATGTGCGTTATTTAATCTTATGGGGAAATTAGGATAAGTTCCACAACGACTAAAAGTCAACAGTTATGCTATAAAAGTTGTGGAAAAATCATTACAATACTCTAATGTGGCTTATAAATAAATATACTGTAATATAAAACTATAAAATAAGAAAAAATAAAGAACACGAGTGTGTGTGTGGTGGTGGCTGTGGTCTTGAGCCATCTGATACCTGAGGAGCCTTCCGTCCCAACCCTCCCTCCCTCAACCATCTGATAACTGAGGAGCCTTCCGTCCCCACCCTCCCTCCCTCAACCATCTGATAACTGAGGAGCCTTCCATCCCCACCCTCCCTCCCTCAACCATCTGATACCTGAGGAGCCTTCCATCCCCACCCTCCCTCCCTCAACCACCTGAGGAGCCTTCCATCCCCACCCTCCCTCCCTCACCCATCTGATACCTGAGGAGCCTTCCGCCCCAACCTCTCCTCCTCAACCATCTGATAACTGAGGAGCCTTCTCCCCCCATCCTCCTCCCTCAACCATCTGATAACTGAGGAGCCTTCCCCAACCCTCCCTCCCAACCTGATAACTGAGATAACTGAGGAGCCTTCCTGTCCCCACCCTCCCTCCTCAACCATCTGATAACTGAGGAGCCTTCTCCCCAACCCTCCCTCCCTCAACCACCTGATAACTGAGGAGCCTGTCCCCAACCCTCCCTCCCTCAACCACCTGATAACCTGAGGAGCCTTCCATCCCAACCCTCTGAGGAGCCTTCCGTCTCAACCATCTGATAACTGAGGAGCCTTCCTTCCCCCCACCTCTGAAACTGAGGAGCCTTCTCCCCACCCTCCCTCCTCAACCATCTGATAACTGAGGAGCCTTCCGCCCCACCTCCCTCCTCAACCATCTGATAACTGAGGAGCCTCTCCCCCCATCCTCCTCCCTCAACCATCTGATAACTGAGGAGCCTTCCCCAACCCTCCCTCCCAACCTGATAACTGAGGAGCCTTCCTGTCCCCACCCTCCCTCCTCAACCATCTGATAACTGAGGAGCCTTCTCCCCAACCCTCCCTCCCTCAACCACCTGATAACTGAGGAGCCTGTCCCCACCCTCCCTCCCTCAACCACCTGATAACCTGAGGAGCCTTCCATCCCAACCCTCCCTCCCTCAACCATCTGATAACTGAGGAGCCTTCCTTCCCCCCACCTCCTCCCTCAACCATCTGATAACTGAGGAGCCTTCCGCCCCACCCTCCCTCCCTCAACCACCTGATAACTGATACCTTCCCTCAACCCTGATAACCCCGCCCTCCTCCCTCAACCATCTGATACTGAGGAGCCTTCTCCCCCCTCCTCCCTCAACCATCTGATAACCTGAGGAGCCTTCCGTCCCCAACCCTCCTCCCTCAACCATCTGATAACTGAGGAGCCTTCCGTCCCACCCTCCCTCCCTCAACCACCTGATAACTGAGGAGCCTTCCCCCCCCCTCCCTCCCTCAACCACCTGATACCTGAGGAGCCTTCCGTCCCCAACCTCCCTTCCCTCAACCATCTGATAACTGAGGAGCCTCCGTCCCCCCTCCCTCCCTCAACCACCTGATACCCTGGAGGACCTGTCCCCCACCTCCCTCCCTCAACCACCTGATAACTGAGGAGCCTGTCCCTCCCTCCCTCCTCAACCACCTGATAACTGAGGGCCTTCCGTCCCAACCCTCCCTCCCTCAACCACCTGATACCCTTCCGTCCCCATCCCTCCCTCAACCACCTGATAACTGAGGAGCCTCCCAACCCTCCCTCCCTCAACCACCTGATAACTGAGGAGCCTTCCTCCCAACCCTCCCTCCCTCAACCACCTGATAACTGGAGGAGCCTTCCGTCCCACCCTCCCTCCCTCAACCACCTGATAACTGAGGAGCCTTCCGTCCCAACCCTCCCTCCTCAACCACCTGATAACTGAGGAGCCTTCCATCCCCACCCTCCCTCCCTCAACCACCTGATAACTGAGGATCCTCCTCCTCAACCCCCTGACCCCCTCCCTCCTCAACCACCTGATAACTGGGGAGCCTTCCGGAACCTCCTCCCACCTGATAACTGAGGAGCCTTCCGCCCAACCCTCCCTCCCTCAACCACCTATAACTGAGGAGGAGCCTTCCATCCCACCCTCCCTCCCTCAACCATCCTGATAACCGAGGAGCCTTCCGTCCCCCTCCCTCCCTCAACCACCTGATAACTGAGGAGCCTTCCCTCCCTCCCCAACCCTCCCTCCTCAACCATCTCTGAGGAGCCTTCCCCCCTGATGATAACTGAGGAGCCTCCCAACCCTCCCTCCCTCAACCACCTGATAACTGAGGAGCCTTCCGTCCCAACCTCCCTCCCTCACCATCTGATAACTGAGGAGCCTTCCCGTCCCCACCCCTCCCTCCCTCAACCATCTGATAACTGAGGAGCCTTCCGTCCCCACCTCTCCCTCCCTCAACCACCTGATACCTGAGGAGCCTTCCCGCCCAACCCTCCCTCCTCAACCACCTCCCTCCCTCCCTCCTCCCTCAACCACCTGATAACCTGAGGAGCCTTCCGTCCCAACCCTCCTCTCAACCACCTCCTCCCTCCAACCTCCTCCTCAACCACCTCCTGATAACCTGAGGAGCCTTCCGTCCCAACCCCCTCCCTCCCTCAATGATGACGACACCCACATCATTTATATACTGAGGAGCCTTGGTGATAACTGAGGAGCCTTCCATCAGATAAAACAAAAAATACAGATAACTGAGGAGCCTTCCCCCCATCCCTCCCTCAACCATCTGATAACTGAGGAGCCTTCCGCCCCCAGGAGGAGCCTATCCCTTACCCATCTGGAGGAGCCTTCCGTCCCAAAACTTGTGTGTATTTTCCTCCTGTAACCATAGTTTTCTTAAAATAATATATACACTACCAGGAAATGTGAGGAATAAATCAAAATAATACCAACAAGAAATACTGTATTGCACAATCAGTAAATAAAAGCCAAGTAAAAGTTTAACAGTCACTATTTACATACACTCCGTTTCACCATAGTAACGAAGACCAACTGGCACACCGATTCCCTAGCAACACTCCACCAACCCCTACACTCTGTGCTGTCCTCCCATTATGTGTTTTCCCTTAGGACAATAATTTCTTATACTTTTTTCACAATATGTATCTAGGATGGTGTGTGCATGTGACTGAGTAAAAATAAATTAAGAAAGTTATGTATATCGACCCAAAAATACAAGTTTTAAAAAACCATAACACCTCACAGCATGGCCCAGCAGACGACGAGGACTGGGCCCATTTTAGCACTTGGGGAATAAACACGGTATACGGACTGAGAGAAAGAGAGACCAGATAGGAATTTGCCACATTCAGATGTCGGTTTGAACCAACCAAAATCCGGATCTGACAGGTCCAGAAGTGCGGGGGTTTACTGTATCTGCTTTTGTGGTAGACATACAATATTTTTTAACCACTTTGGACCACTAGTATAACATATTATATTTTTGGTATTAATGTGAAATTTGCTACAAGTAAATAAGTTACCCTGTGTGTTCATGTTTTTTGTGGGGATGAATTAATTATTCTTGCATTCACAAACCATACATGAAACCATAAATAAAAAATACTTACCATACATATAGTAGCCATAACTGACATGGTTACATCGTCTAATATATACCTGGAATCTTACAAGATTTCTTTCTCACCAAATATTTTTTTTAGGAACTGTCAACAAGTGTGAATGCTGCCTGTTTGTCCCTTCTTGATGCTGGAGTACAGATGAAGTCAACATTTGCAGCTGTCACCTGTTGTCTCACACCTTCATCCACCATCTTAATTGAACCCACAGCAGCTGAGATGAAGGTCAGTCAATCTATTTTAGTTTTAAACATTACAAACCCATTTTACATCTTTTTCTGAGCTTTATTTAATGCTCATAGTTTAAACATATGGGAAGAAACTGAAAAAGCACAAAACACAAAAGTAACTATTCTGTGAAGGAAGGTCTGTGCAATGGATACATCTAGACAGTGTTAACTTGTCTGTGTGTGTGTGTGAATGATGTGTTGGTTTTTGCTTAGAGTTAACAAGAATCACAAAAGGTGGTGAATGACTTTAACAATTGTATGAGGGAAATTATTGAAGATAAATGCTAGGAAGAGTAAGGTACTGGTATTTGTGAAGGAGTTTGCTGAAAAATAATGCAAATTTATATGTAAAATCACAATGCAGAATTAAATATAGTATGGGACTGTAGGACGTTAAGGAATTCAAATATTTGGGAATAATATGAAGTATCAAAAGAAAGGTTTGATAACAACAGTAAGGAGAGATCAGTATGTGGGGAGGAGGGTGACTGAAGAGCTGGGAAGATGGAACAGTACATTGAGGGGAGCACAGGTGAAGGGTATAGACAAGAGAGGGCAAAGAAGATAATATACGTAGTGTACTGATAGGATGGCCTGGAGGTTCTTCTGTTGTGGCCACCATCTCAGTGGAGAGTTGCCTGGAGGAGGTAGACATCATAGATAAGATAATACTGTACTGTATAAGAAGACATAAATAACTATCTTTCTGTAAACTTGCAAATATCACATAGAATTTGATATATACTATATGATTTATACCTTTTGTGCCTTGTTTTGATGTGAATAAACAAGATGATCACTTAGCAGATTTCACATTTTGTCTGAGAGAGAGAAAGATTTACACCTTACAAAGTACAGTAAAGTCAGTTTAGGAACAATGCAAACATCAGTCATCACATTGCTACTGAAAAGGTATGCAAGAATCTAAGTAAATCAATTGAAATGCAGTCTCATGAACACTAACTGTCTCTTATAGCTAACTGTCTATGATCCATAACCAAGAGACTCATCAATGTGGACCTCAAATGTCATACATGATATTGCTGGCATTACTATTGAGAGCTATTTAAGGCGGGAACAGATAAGACCAATAGTGCAGGTAATCATTTCTTACAGGCTGTCCAATGGCAGTTTATATAGCTAGGTAGGATATGGTTAAGGTAAGAGTATTTTAGGAATGCCCGAGCCAAATCAGACTGACTTGATTTTATACATGCCCGCTCCCACTCCTGAGTGTACCCTGCCGGTATTATTAATGCAGGCAAATTTATATCAATGCGATTTCTGTCTCAGAAAACGTGAATATATTGTATTTTGTGTGTCAAGTGTAAGCTGTAATGATCATTATAGATTGAGAATCTCAATTAAAAGATACCTGTATTAAATCATTCCTCGATTAGTTTACTGTAAAACTATATAATCCCCAAAAGAAGTAATGATATGCATTGAAATACGTATTTACATTTTTACCAGGAAAGTGTGGCAGTAGCAACATTTGTACTAGATGGCCAAGCACTGAATGTTTTGTCAGCACATCAAGAGGGATGCCTCAATGCAGAGAACTTTAATGCTTGTCTCAAGGCTTGCCAGACTGCAGCCAAGGATGTTTTTAATTTCTACCGGCAGGCTTTGGAGAAAAAATATCATACATGTAATGAGATAAGCTAGGACTACCCAACTCTCAGTGTTAATATTTGAAAGTGTTATAATAAGGAACCTTTTAGTGTGGACATCATGTTTTAATTATTGCAATATTTCATGATAAACATTAGGACTTTGTCATATTTGCAAGATATGTGATTGTATTTTATATTTGTATCAGAATGTGTTTCTTTGAAGATAAGAAAAATAAAAGGCTAGTGTGATTTTTTATTGAATTTTGTTTTCACTTTTAAGATTTTCCAATGTTCAAATGAATACAGTTTAACCCCTTCACTACAGGGATGCCGCTTTTAAGATTTTATTTGGCTAACACCAGATGATTTTATTCAGCAGAGAGAGAACTCTGGACACAAATGGTTAAGGGTAATCCCATTGACTTTGATAGTCTCACATACCTCTCCTTTCTGCCACTACATATATGCTGTTGCTTATTTTGTTACTCCACCATTAATGTAACTAGGGGAACACACACACACACACACACACACACACACACACACACACACACACACACACACATATATTTGAGCAAAAGGGATAATATACAGGTGATGGCTCTTTTCAGTACACATAACCAAAGGAGAATCATCAAATTTTGCAGAAGTTTACACGATAACAAGACAAGAAAGTACTTTAATAGTTCTTAATTGCAGTAGATTAAAAAAAAAAAGCCAACTACTGCACACTGTTATGAGGCATACTGTTGGGTAATACTGTACTGTATATACTGTATACATTTTGTTAGTCTTTATGCAACTTGTTTGTTTCTTGTTATTCATCTAAAACCATTGATATTTCTCCACCGCAAGACTGTATTTGTCAGCTTCACATATGTACCTTTTTCAGATTCTGTATAGGTTCTAGTTTCAGAGAAATACATAATTCACAACTATTTATATAAAAGTCTATATACTGAACCTCATAACAAAAGAATTTCCACAAGTATACACCAATACAGTACAGTGAACCCTCACTTTACACGGTCAATTGAACCCACGGCCGCCCGCGTAAAGTGAACAACATAACATATGGGATTAATTGAAATAGAGATCAACACACTTCAAAACCCACTTTTTTGTAGACAATACCCATGTTAGTAGTAAAAAATAACTTCTAATTTTATGATGGTATGCACACACAATTAATAATTAAGAGAAATATCAATAATATTAGGTTTTTAACACTTACATTAGTAGAAAAGATTGGGCACACGGGGATGGGGGGTTGGTTCCGAGGCAGAGGGCAGATTATTGGCCCTCACCTGTATCACTGTGAATACTTATCCACCACAGAGGCTTGCAGGGCCTCTTTGTCAAACCCCTCAAAGTCCATATAAGTCCATATCCTCACTATCATTATCACTATCACTGACTTGGGCCGGCTGTGGTGGGTGGCGGGTGAAGAACTCGGTAATGTTTTGATGACTGGGCGACCTTGTGCGCACCCTGCTCGCACCGCTCTCCGCGTAAAAGGGTACACACACCGCGGAAAGTGAGCATTCCGGTTTCGGCAGGGTACCGCGTAAACGTGGAAACGCGTAAAGTGGGACCGCGTAAAGCGAGGGTTGATATATCTGAAACCTTCAATTGTGCTAAACATTTTCCTGGCACACAACTCTTACTGGATACATTGCTGAGATATTCTGTGATATTCAAGTAAAGACTTACTGTAGTTTGAATATTTAGGATCCATCTATCATACATTCTCAGCCCATCAGGCATATTATTTCCTCTTATCTCCTCCACCTCATGAGTTAATAATCTTTTTCTTATAATTTGCTGCATAGGACAACATGATCTCAAGACATTATTGGCTTATATTTCTTGGCTCACTTGCATCATTGCAGAAAAGTTTACATGATATATCCCCAGCACCATAATCCTCACAGTTGTAATTGGATCAAATGAATGTAAACTTTTTGATATACAGTAATTCAGTATGTTACATAATATAATCACTAGTCTTCATGGGCATTATCATCTGAACACACTTAATCATCACAATCATTTTATGGGAGTCAAGATTACCTGATGTCAACTCTCCATACTACACAGTCTCTTCCAGCTCCCTTGTTAGGTTCTTATCTGTAAGGTCATTTCTTACAGACTCTTCCCATGTACCTCTAGCTCTCCTCCACCTTTTAAGCCAATTGATATCCCCCATTCTCCCAACATGCCCAAACCATCTCAGCTTACCTCTATACAAAATTTCACCAATATAGTACTCACAATATCCAGCTGCCATTTTAGCTTAGAACAGGATTTTCTATCTCTCAGTGTCACATCCACCTTACCATTCTTATTTCAGCTCGCTCAAGCCTTCCCATGACAGTCACTGGGACACAACTGAGCTAGCTTCAGGTAGGCCACTTCAACCTACTATTCAGAATTTAGTGGTCATGTTAATTTCTATATCATTTTTGTTTCAACACTTTACACCAAACAAGTACTGTACACCCACAGGAGAGCTTCATTCAGGTGTAGGGTCCTCGGACACAGTCTCAAGGGGGTACCAAGTTCATGACTCATTCATCCAGTAAGCATATAATATCATAAAATGTGTCTATTATAATTCCAAAGTTGCATATTACAATATATACAAGAGTACCTTGTAATGGAAACATTAATTTGAAACTTGGAGGACAGGGGGGAAGTGTGTCTGGTAGGGCAGGAGGGTGAGGGTAAAAGTGCATTTTGCTCCAGGGTGTCAGAGACCTTCAGTACACAGACCACCCAACTGACTAGTAACCTGACAAGTGGCAAAGGGTATAAAGTATATTAAATAGTTTAGTTTATTTTTGCATTTCAGGAGGCCTAGAAATTCTACCTTCATCTAAGGAAAAACATTTACGGTAAGAGAACATTAATGGTACAGGGTACTTACTTATCCCCTTGGTCACTTGTCAGCTTACTAGTCAGTTGGATGGTCAGTCTGTTACAAAATGTTGACAAATACTGGGCATGTACAGGCTCTTCAATGTATCTGAACATGTGCCAACCTAAATATTGTAAATAGATAGAATTAAGGGATACCATACGTACATATTTTCCTGGACATTTCGTTTTTGGTCCTTAATTCTCTGTCTAGGAGAAATTTGTAAATATCTGAAAACATCCATGATTTTACCCTTAGTATTTTTCTCCAAAGGTTTTTGATGCAAAATTAACCTTAATATAAAATTAGGAATAAAATATTCATTGGTTCTTGGGAGAGAGAGTAAGATCATGTGTTGATTATTGGTCCTGGACTTCTCTAGTTTGCTGCACCGTTCAGTTTTCATCCTGAACAGGCACTAATCTTCCAAGGCCTCCTCACTGGCTCAGCCACTGCACTAATTTCATTGTTTTATTTATTTTGTTTATTTTTTACAGGGATTAGCCCACCCGGGCACATGTCACTGACCCACATCGGGGCCTGGGGGGTGAAAATTTAATAATAATTAGTTCATAGTAAATAAAATTTATAAAAAAAACAAAATAAAACATTAAAAACAACTAATAATAACAAAAACACTGATGATGATGATGATGATGATCATAATAATAATAATAATAATAATAATAATAATAATAATAATAATAATATTAATAAAGAACCATAAAGAAATACAAAAATTAAAAAGATTAATAGTGAGAAACGATATACTGTATGTACTGTATGTTGTGTTGTCAAAGTAAGAGAAACAATTGAAACCCTGCAATTGTGTGTAAATGAGGCAGAAAGTCAGATCAGCAACCTGGGACTTGGTCACATATGGCAGCAGGGTCTACCATTAGACAACACATTATGCTTCCAATATCTTCCCAGGTGGTAGTACCTCCCTGTTTAGTAGCTGCCTACTGTACTTCCAACCTGAGTCTGTTCTGTGCTCAGTTGCATTTCTTCAGGAGATTTTTATTTGATATTTTATTTTGTTATCCCTAAACATGATACCAAAATGAAAATACAAATTGACTGCAGAACTAAAGACAAAGTTCAAGTGTTTTCAAGGTGGTGGAGAAGAATGGGAAGCTGAGTGTGTAGACCAGGTCTGCATCTCTGTGGCAACTAAAGGCACAAATGATTTATAAACTCATGTGAACTCAGACAAGCACAAGAATTAAAATTAAAGCAGTTCGAGAGAGAACTCATCAGAAAATTTGACAGATTATTTTGTAAAACCAGACAGCAAATAAGAGTACAGTGGGGTATGCGATAACGAATCTAATTGGTTCTAGAACCTCGTTCGTTATAGCATTCGTTCGTTATAGGATTAATCCGTTCCAGGCCCCCAAATACAACCACTTAACACTGAAAAATATAATATAAAATTGTAAAAATTGTAAAAAAGTGCATAAATATGCATCTAAACCCCTGAAATAAAGAATATCATTAATACTTGTAATAAAAAAACAATAAATTAGGAAAAAAAAAAAAAAATTTAAATAATGTTCGTTGTAGGAGTTTCGTTCGTTATAGCATTCTCAATTTTATAGGTAAAACCGTTCGTTATAGGAATATTCGTAGTAGGATCCGTTCGTTATAGCATACCCCACTGTATGTGGTTAATGCAGCAGAAGATGCTTTTGTATTTCACACCATTAAGCATCACAATAGTTTCAAGTCAATGGATTGTACATTTGTCTAAGTGAAGAAGACATTCCCTGATTCTGAGGTAGCATGAAAATTTCAAGTGCTTGAACCAAGACAGAGGCAATTGTTAACTGTACTTGCATTGCATTCTGTTGTTGCTGTTCTAAAAACGTTTGAAGGAAATTACCGCTTACTGTGGAGTTACCACAGATGGAAGCAATCATGGTTCAGTGAAAATATTTCCAGAAATTATTCAGTATTTTGACTGGAAGATGGTAGTTTGTAGTAAATTGATTGAGGTCCAGAACGCACCCAATGAGACTGCCGATATGATTGCTCATTACATAAAAGAAACTCTTGCAAAAATGGTTGGTTAGAGAATTACACTGCATTTATGGGTGACAACTGTAATGCAGTACTGTACAATGTTTGATGGACAGTGGCTTGATGAAGAAGGAAAGAATATGTTTGCAAACTTAAAGAAGTTGCTGCAGAAAAGAACTTTCATTGGTGTGGGCTGCTCAGCACACATTTTCAGCAACTGTGTTCATCATGCAACAGAAAGAATGGACATTGACATCGAGAACATTATTTTTAAAATTTACCTAAAATATACAGTTCTTTCATATCTACACT